ATCCAGAAAATGTTAAGTCTCCCACTGAAAATAAACACATTCCTTGGGGTTTAGGTAACAAACACAGAAAGCTGATGATATTTTGCACAAAACCTCTTCTATCAAAGGTTACAATGGCGACATTTCTCCTTGTTCAGCTACTGTTTATCGACCTCAGTGTTTTTATCTCACCATTTTACTAGTATGGTAAACACCCCCTGTGATTACTTGCAGAGGCATAACCATCTGTCCAGTATTCAGCACAAAGAGTGATTCCATGTTTCCAACAAGAAATGTTGTGTAGGTTCACTTATTTATTGGTCAATTGATCGAAAATCCCGCTGTGCGTAAGTGTGTGTGTGTGTGTGTGTGTGTGTGTGTGTGTGTGTGTGTGTGTGTGTGTGTGTGTGTGTGCATGAGGCTAGGCCACATCTGGAAGCAACCTGGGTGCTGCTAATCACAAACCTAAACACAAAATAGCTCAGTCTCATTGCTGCAAACAACCAGAAACATTTTAGTTGCATAACAGCCTGATGCGATATTTCATGTTCGATTTGTGCACAAAGGTGGAAGATGGAAAGTTAATGAATAATGGGCGTGGTTGAGTTGTAAGTAAAAAGTATTGTGCTATATATTTATTTTCCACACAAATACTTCCCGGATAATGCAGTGTTTATTCTGCCCCCAAAATGTTGTTGCTAAACTTTCTAATGACTGTAACAGGATCACAGATGGAAAACATCACAAATGATGTCTTCTCACAGAGTTGGGTCCAGTGCCTGGCTAAGCTACAAGCCTGGGCACATGGAAAAGCTAATTTTGTCATTTCATCTTCAGAAAATGGCTCAAGCTCGAGGGAATCTGGCAACAAATTCTAAGACTCATTTTGGTGTGAACTTTGACTTGGCCATTGTAAAACATGAACTAAGCCATTCCACTGTAGCTCTGGTTGCATGTTTGGGGTTATTGTCATTCTGGACAATAATCCAGGATTGTGCTTTTCTTTGCACATCTTCTCAACTCTAACAAGTCTATAATTGATAGATAAATTGCCAGATAGTTCTTTATCCAATTGTGGAGCTCTGCAGCTCCTCCAAACTAACCATGGACTGTTCTCTGCTTCTCTAATTTTTGTTCTCTCTAGCTATCCTTTTGGTCTATATGGACATGCTCCTTGGTCTTCATGATGCCGTTTGTTTCCTGATGTTTTTTAACAAACCTCTGAGGCCTTCATAGAGCAGCTGGATTTACATTGAAAATACATTTCATACAGACTGACTCTGTTAAGTATTAAGGCGAGTTCTACATTCATTTTATTTAGCAGGATCAGATTTAAAATGTTGATTCCCAAGCCACACAATTCAAATTTTTATATGTAAAACAACTTAAAAAGTGTTCATTTCCTTCCACTTCATAATTATGTTGTACTCTGTGTGGGACTGTCACATGAAATCCCGGAAAAAAAACAGTGAAGTTAAAATTTTTAATATGACTAAGTGAAAAAATGTTCACAGGATGTGAACGCTTTCCTCTGAATTTGTTCACGATGAGTAGCTGGCCCATATTGCACATTTTTTGAAACAACAACAGTATTCTGAACTGGATAACCTTAAAAAGTTGGACGATTGTATCTGCTCTCAGAAAAATGTTGACTAACTGGCTGTGGCGATGCAGGAAAAGAAACAAGGAATGAAGCTAAGCTCATGCTCACAGTCAATCTGTATCACCGTGACGACAGCTCAGTGGCAAAGGACGTGATAAATGTAAATGCTTTTCTGTGCGTTCAGTGAATTTCTCGTTTCTCCCCTCCGTCTTCGGCGTGGTCCAAATGAAACATCTAAATCACAAGCGTGTCAGCATTTCCCGGCTCTGTCAGTCAGACCAGAGCAGGGAATCGTTCGTTGACTGACCTCATGCAAACGTTTTACAGCAACAAGCTTGATCTTTCTTGGAAGAATTTTCCCTCTTTTAAAGAATCAGCTGCGTTTTTGTTTTTCCTGTTCATGTACAGCATGAATGCATTCTTTGTTTCAGTATCACATGACTCGCTACGTCTTACTTTAAGGGACAAATTATTGCTATGCTCACAAAAACTAATTAAATTTATGAATTTGATGTTAAAAGAGGGATCTTTAGATGGGGCCTGCAGTTGAAAATTTAGGTTTATTTCAGTGCTTCCCCTTGGAAACAGAGGTGTGTTTCAGTTGGTTTCCTCTTCAAGCCGTGGCCTCCCTCGTGTCCTTATATGTTTCTGTGTCTGCCCCCGAGTGCCCATCATCCCACTGGGGCCTCTCAGACAGGAACAGGACCTCTGCCTGACCGACATTATCGCAGCGTCACACATGATGTCCGTAGAGGATTTATTTGGAGACAAATTTTATAAATTGAAGAAGAACCACATTATGCTGGGGTTTCCAAAGAAACATAGCTGAGATTAAATGAGCGTGAAAACATGCATTCTCTTCCTCAAAGAGTTCATCCGGCAGCCAGCCATTATCTGAAGTGAGAGCTGGTCATGTTTGGGAAGCAACAGCTAATAGGATTCAGTCGATCTTCCTGTCAGTCTAAACAGAGCCTCGCCCAGTTCCTCTCTCTGAACAGGGTGGTCCCTGTTGAGCGGAGCCGCTCCGTTCGGAGCGACTTGGCAGAGTTCACCGTGGCAGACAGGAACACGCTTCCCCTCAATCAGCAGTTATCGGCAGGTGTGCCATACCTCTCCCTTCTTTTAATTAATCAAATATGTGCTAATATCAGGAAAATATAGCCTAAGTCAAAGACTACTTTTCCTACTTTCTTTTCAGCTGAGAGGAAAAAAAAAACTAAAAGAAAATTCTCCAAACAAACCTACCTTCGTGCCAAAAGTATTTTCCGCCCTAATATTTCGTGATTGAACTGTGACTGACCAAATTTTTAGAAAGCTGTCTTCAATTTCATAGGCATGATTATCACAGACCTGTAAAATCAAAAAATGGCTTAAACAGATCCTTTAAACAGCAGGAAGTAGGTTAAAAGGTCTCAAAAACAAAACGTCGTGCCTGCATATGAAGAAATACAGGAACAGATAAGAGAGACACTGAAATCTATTTGGCTGGAAAGGGCTAAAACGTTTTGGACTAAATGAACCAGAACAGGAACAGAACTGGCTTTCCTACCAAAACTACACCAAGAGTGCATCAACAATTCATTCAGGAGGTCACAAAAGAACCCAGAATAACATTTAAAGAACTGAAGCCTCATTTGCTCCAGTTAAGACCAATTTTTAGTTTCAGGAGTAAGAAAAGCGGGACAAAAATTGGTTGAAAAACATGTTGAGGAGCCATGCATCAGAAAAGCAAGGTCATGTTAGGTTATAAAACATGATATTGGTCCTATTTGTGCAAGAACAGGGCGCTGAGCCAATCTGAAGAGAGGAGTGGGTCAAACTTCCTCTGCATTCTTTCATGCAGGTTGTCAGTTGTGATTGTTTCACAACAGTTGTTATTCGCCAAAGGTGGCAGAGTTATTAGATTTAGGATTTAATTACGTTTTCACATAATACAAAGTTTGGTTCATTAGTATTTTTGAGTGTCGATACATAGTTTCAGCATTGTATGTGTGTAAATTAAAAAAAATAGTGATTTGTCTAATATTTGTAGCTTTCATCAAATCATTTTTATCTCACAGTGCAGAGGTGAAGGCAGTATGTATCTGTGGACTGTAAACACACATTGCTGTTTTTTTTTGTTTTTTTTTTTTCCTGCTGATGTAGACACTGAAAGGTTGCGCATGTGCTGACCAGATGTGGCTACTATTGTTGTATTTTGCAACTTTGTGGTCTGTGAAATCTCTCTTCCAACCTTATCCTCAATGTGATGAAAGTATGAATGAACGAATCCTCGTTTGACTTAGGGAAAACAAACTTCAAATCACTTTCCAGCCAAAGCAATAAAACCTCTAGAATGTAATTGGCCTGAACCACAAAACCAAGACGTCGGGTGGGGGATGGGTTCTCTGAAATACTCTGGGTCGAATATTTTAATAATGAACTAAAAATAGTGAAAATTCCATCTTTTTGCATAAGTTATGACTGATGTTACTTTATGGGTGTAACATCATTGGTTTAGCTTCCAGATTGTATTGTAAGCATGAAAACACATACAGTTAGAATTCAAAAATTTATTTTGGCTCTTAATTCTGAATTTAAATTATCCTTGTTATACATTTGGTTGGTTAGCAACATTTAGCAAACCATTATCCAATAATGCAGTACTGAGATAAAGGCACAGGTCTCCTGACAAATATATTCATTTTTAGCTGTTGTTCCTAAATTTTCAGGTATTCAAAGAAATGTTAATATCACACAAAGATGATCTGAGTAAATATAAATTGTGGTTTTATTAATGGGGAAAAATCAGTTCAAATCAAGTTGGTCTTATTTATTTATTTATTTATTTTTTACAAATATTTAGCCCCTCGACATAATACCTAGTTTTTACACCCTATTGATAGGAATAACTGGCAATGAATCACTTTGAATTGTTGTAATTCAGACAAATTATGAGGTTTTTGTGGATTCAAAGCACATTTAAAACCATCTCATAGAATCTCAATGGGAATTTTCTACCTGAGTTTTACGAGGCTCCTCCAAAATCGTTTGCTGCTGTGCTTTGCATCATTGTCCTGCTTCAGCTTAAAGTCATGAACTGGTAAAGTTCAGGATCTTTTACTGGAGATACGAATTCACGGTTCCATCAATTATAGCAATTTGTCCATTTCCTGAAAAAGCAAAGCAGTTCCAGATCATCCCCCGTTGGCATTTTGTTAATTTCACACCAGCTGTAACTGGGTGTACACCTTGCAAAAGTTACACTTTTGTTTCATCAGCTTAAAGAAATGTCTCGAAAAAGGGTTTTGGGATATTTTTGGCAAGTGTGCAATATGTCTGTGTTTGTTTTGGATAGCAGTGGTTTTCACCCTTTGGATTCCTTCATGGATGCTATTTAAGCTCCATTCAGTTCCTGTTGTTGAATCATAAACCTTACCTTCACTGAGATGATTAAGCTCTTAAGTTCTTTAGATGTTTTGGGCTCTTCTGAGACTTCCTGGATGAGCTGTCAGTGCAATCTTGGAGTGATTCTGTTCGGCGGGCGAACCCTGGGAATGTTCACCGATGTTCAGTGGACTCTGTAACCTTGTGTGAGTTAGAGAAAATCCACAACAAAGTCAAGCTGGTCTAAAAGATATCCTAAACACAGGGAGAAGTCAGTCGTCATTTTTATGCTGCAAGAAGCACAAACCGTGACATAAAATATGTTTAACCGTAAATGTTAATGAAAAGGGCCAGTTTTGCTTCCAAGAAAAAGCTAATATTCTAGATTTGCAGCAAGACATATAAAGTATGTCAAGTTTAACAACATAAACATCTGTTCTTCATATGATGTGAATGAATAATAACGTCATGTTTTTCTTTTTTACAGAAAACAAAAAATAAAAGCAATAATTGTAAATGATAGCAAATGTCTAAAATAATCGTAGACACAAAAATTCTTATCTGAGACAGTTTGGTCCAGATTAAAACGCACACATTTAAACAGCAAACAAAGATAAAACACTGCCGTTATGGCGTCTGTTGCTGCACTTTAGGCAAGAGGGTGATTCCCACTACAAAGCATGTTTATATATTCTTTAGTGACACTCCGCTGACAGCCAGGGTGGAGTGGGTATTTGTCAGACATTTGGGCAATCCACATTAGAGGCCCCGTCTTTGAAGAGAGAATATAAGAACTGAAATGTTTCCAATGTCTATGAAAACAATACCACTGTGAATCCCTGCAGGAAGACTGCCCCGGTGAATCGTCTCTACATATGTGACCCAGACAGTCATCAGCTGAAGCACAATTAATAACATCCACAAAGTTTTTTTTTTTTTTTTTCAATACCTCAAGCATGCTGTCCGCATTGAATGTGCTCCATCTCCGTCTTTGGATGTTGAGTCCCTGGTTATGGAGCCTTAGATTATATAAAATAAAATAAAAAATCAATAACAACAGCAGGAAATCTGTGAAACATCAGGAGATCAAAAGACAAAACAAAAATGTAATCAGTAAAGGTATCCCACTGATAAAGATCTTGTGCTGTGCTTCATTGCCAGATTATTGTCATCACTATAAAATGCACTTCTTCAAGTTCCAGCTGTTTTCCCTTCAAGTTATCAACAACAACACCGGGAACGAGAGAAAGAGAGAGAGAGAAAAAAGTGCATTTACATTCAGAACCCCTACTGGATGAGACTCCCCTGTGGCTGACTGGCCCTGATTAGGACCGGGCTTTAGACCGGCCCAATCACCGCAGATGACAAATAACTTCAGCCAATCGAGTTGGCAGTTAATCAGCAGCATCCAATCAGGTAATAAGAAACTGAGTTTTGAAATGGAAAGCAGACAGAGCCCATGGTTGTTTGGGAGGAAGCTGGAGGAGAGGTCCTGTTAGCAGCACAGGGAAACCCCACTGTCTGCAGACAATTACATTTAATCAGAGGAGCTGATGGACATCCAACAAAAAGTTGTGTGTCTGATTCAGAAGAAGAGAATTAGATACAACCCAAGATGTTTTTTGGTTTTTTTTTACAAACGCAAACCTCAGTCAGTGTTGAAATTGTTTACAGAATAGTAAACAAGTGTAGTGATGTGCTCTCAGGAAATTCCCAGAAATGTGTTGGCACTCATAGAAATGTCTTAAAATAAATCTGTTTATTTCAGCAGTGTAATGTCTTACTAAAAAATTTTTTTAAAAATCCATCCCTTTATTTGACTATATCAAATAAAAATAATTAACAGCTTGATGATACAAAAAAAATGGTCTAAATCAAGATTGAAGGAGCCTTGTTCATAGCCAGTCCAGTCCTCAGACCTAAATCTTTCAGAAAACGTACAGTCTGATCTAATTTGGACGATATAGAAACTTTGCACAAACATAAATAGTCACACGTCATTCTTTTTGTCCTCCTCAGATCCTGTAGAAAACCACAAGTTCAGTCCTGAAGATCTACTATCCTGCAGCTTTTAGATGTGCATCTGTTTCTACACACCTGAATCAAACAAATGGCTCGTTACCAGGCCTCTGCAGAGCTAAAAGATGCTGATGAGCCATTCGATTCAGGTGTGTTGGAGAAGAGAGACAACTACAAGTTGCAGGAGAGTAGATTTTAGGGCCTGGACCTGGACTCTGTTAGAGAAAAAGAAAAGACCAACTGCAGTAGTGTTGGTAATAAAAGATGGATTCATTCATTTGTTGCCAGTTCTTTCCCTGCAGCTGCACCATGCATCCATATATGTTAATTTACAGCTCCAGCATGCAGGGTACTGTAGTTCAGGATAATGACTTTCTGAGGGGGTAATTTGAGAAATACCATTATGTAAATCAACAGGTGCATGCCAAAGCAGAATAAGTATACCCCTGCCTCCAAGTGCTTCAAGATGCCTTTCTGGTGGCTGCTGCTAACGTCCAGACCACACCGTATGGAAACCTCCCCTGTGCATGTGGGTGTGCTGCAAGCAAGGAGGGCCATGAGAGATGAATGTTCACAGCAAAGTGTTATTTTTTTTCCCCTTCAGAACGATTTCAGACACTTACTCAGGAAGAAAACATTTAGTTAGGCAACACTGGGATGCCATCACATCCTGTGCTGATATGGCTGTCAGTTATGCCACTTCTTCCCCTGCGTTCAATGGGGAGCGAGTTGTTTTCCGCTTGGCCGCGTGCAAATGTTGACCTCAGTAAGCCTGGTGTTAACACGGCTTTTAAATCAGAGTTTAGGGAAATTTGTGAAAAGGAAGGATTTTAAGTGGATTTAGTCTGAGTTAAAATTAAACACAGATCTTTAGGCGAGCAGGGTCTTGTCATTTACTGTTAACCTACTGTGGTGTCACATGCAGAGTCAGCGCCCCCTTGTGGTTAAAATATGCACAAGTTGATGTTATTAGGGTTCCTTCAGCTTTTCAGACTCCAGGATAGAACCCCAGAAAAGTGAGAAAAGAAGAAAATGGACAAATGGATAGATAAGAAATGAACTGACAGTTAGAAAGGTGGATGAATAGATAGATGGAGGGACAACAGATGGAGACACAGGTGGCTGGATGAACAGATGAAGAGAGAAATAAATGAGTAATTACAGACACCAACTTTAGGTGGTACAAAAATTGAAATGTGTGATGGACAAATAGATGGATGTATACATGGCTGGCAGGTTAGTTGGTTAATGGGTCAAAGGCAACAGACAAACTGATGGATAATGAACAGAGGAATGGATGGACAAATTAAAAAAAATAAATGACAGATTGATCAGAACAAAAAGAATAAAAGTGTCGAAACAAACTTTTCAATACATTTTCTTTTCCCATGCCATACTTTTCCTGGCTGAATATACACCCAATCTGCTTGTAATACATGCTCAAAAGATGAATTTATCCCAATATTTTTATTCCAATACATGAGGGACCTGCAATCCAGATAATCTTTGAACATTCATCCGCAGAGGCTTGTCTTTAAAAAAAAAGGAAAAACAGAAGTAGTACATCCCCAATTCACAATATATACATCAGTAAAAGTCACGCTCAGGCCATCTCACCCAGAAGCCCATTCAAGCATTACATTGGCTAGAAAAGTAAAACCATGAACAACAAATATTAATAACAACAAAGCAAACCTTGTTCACTGTTGTTTTGAAGCTTCATATGACACGAGTAATGCTTAAACCTCTCGTTTCCGTACAGAGAAATGTGTTTTCAGCCATTGGTGTTCACACTGAAATGTTGCCCTGATGAAATATTCACATTTCAGTTCTCACCTCAGTTCTAAACATTGCACAACCCAAAAAAGAACAAGTCTGTGATTATTGTTTCAAAAGGCCAGCTAAAAAAAAAAAAAAAAAAAAAAAAAAATTTCTTGACGCGTCTTTACCATCTGAAAAGCTCAACCTCTCAGAAGCAAAACTGAATTCAGAGCCAACAGAGAGTAAAACTTAGTCTGTGTGTGGGAATTACGCATATTAGAAATATTGAAATAATTTTAAAAAAATCCTCTCATGGACTCAATGCAGTACAAACACCCCTACAGGCATATTATTACAAAATGACTAATGATAATGTAAACTCTTTAACAGCAACAAATGCAACAACTACGCACAGAAAAATCAAACCAACAACGTCCATTGGCTCAGAGTACTGCCAACTCTCGAAGCATTAAAATAAATAGTTTCACAATAACTTAAAAAAAAAAAAAATCCCAAAAAGTACAAAGCTGTCCAACAAATTACCCAGAATGCAAAAATACATGGCTACAGGTGTTAAAAAGTGAGGGTGGAAACTTAGTGAGCAGTTGATGCATAGGTGTAAGAGGACATCCTGAGGTAAACACATGAAAGACGGTGACTTACAAAGAAACAATACAATAAATCTTACGTAGGGATTGAACAAAAACTTCCTTCATTCATTCATATTCTGTTACTGTCACATATGTTTCCCTCACCAGAGCAACTGTCTGGTTACAATCAGAGGCAAAGGGACTGGATAAGGCAGGTTATTAAACATGGGTCAACAAACTACTTTCCCAAAACTCAAAAAGGTAAAAACACAAAATAGAAACTACTTGGCTTCCTTTAAAACCCCTTCTTCACATCCAGCAGGCAAATGAAAACAAACAAACAAAAAATACAATTCTAGAACACATGCAGCGACAACTAAATCCCTTCTCCTTAAACGACACATCAAAAGAAAATGTCTATACACACACACACACACACACATTACTCTGTACAGGTTCTGAATTAAAAGAATGAGCTTATATATTTACATAAAACACATATCAGTCCCTGATCGTTTAAGGCCAAAGTGCTGCAGATGAATGACCCACAGCATGTAGAGGCTGCTGTTGCACTTAAAGTGTTCCTCTGTTTGCAAAATGCAAAAGAAGCAGTTATTATACAATAAAACTCAAGGCCTTTGTTCCTGTAACATGTCTTTCAAAGCGCATAAAGCTAAGCAAACTCTGGGAAGCAGAAATAAAACTATTCCCAATATCACAGTTCCCCCTTGCCCCGCCCCCCCCCAAAGTTTCTATTTCTAAATTCAATTGTATGTACATACAGTAGTAACAAGGTTCATATGACTGAAGCCACAGTCTTTTTTTTTGTCTCAGTTTAACAGGACTTCCTGAATATCTCTCTCCTCCTGATGGAGACGCACTGGGACCGCCGAGATGTTGGGGCTGTTGGATGGTGATGAATGCAGGAAACCGGGGCAGTGGAGCAGTGCTGGTCTTCATGTGAATGAGAGGAGCCACAGTGACGGAGGAGTCAGAGCATGCCGAAGCCCTCGCTGCCCTCGCTGATGGCCAGCTTCAGCATCTTGTGCAGCTCCTCGTAGGAGTCGTAGGTCGGGAGGCACAGCTGGTTAAAACTGGACACAACGGCAGATTTAGGTGAAGTTTACAGCAGTCACACACAGAGCAGTGTTTAAAAGCAGATCAAATCAGAGGTCTCGCGAGGTTATTCATGATGCTTGGACTTTTACGCGTTTTGTAAAATTACAACCCAAACACTTTAACAAGATTAGTTGCTAAAGTGCAATGCTTGTTGTTAAAATGTTAAAAGAGTAGCGATGCCTTGACTTCCTGATTGCAGCAGGAGTTTGCAAAGAACCAGAGGGCCAATTTCTAGCATACAGGATTTATATAACAATTGAATGCGACAGATACTTGATTGTGCTATAAAATGGCACTATGTGGCTGGAAAACATATAATACTGCTCCTTTACATGTTTGACAGGTTAATTATGTCCAAAATGATAAATGTTCTCACTAATCCAACATGATGCTAATGATTACTGGTGGTAGATTAGCTATTATTTTTCATTTAGTCAGGTCAGCCTCCCGCTGTGATTACAGGAGAAAAGATAGCTGCTAATGTTGGTCTGTTTTTTTTTTTTTTTTAACCACAAAATAACATTTAGCTTATGAATTTGTATGAAGTCAGTTAGGAGAATATTCCTATTATTTTCAGACATTAAAACCTTTTAAAAAATAAAACTAGAAACCTCCCCACGAGTGCTTTTTATTTTTAGTGAATGGAGAGCTCCTCAGAAACATTCATTTTTTGGAGTTAATTATGATGCAAGAGTAGCCACGACCTTAATAATAAACAAAGGTATAGTTTCTTATTAACTTTTCCACTTTGTCACTTTCTAAAACTTTCTGCTGCATTAAACAAGTGTCTTCAGAGGTATTAGAGAATCCAAGTGCATGGGACGTAAATAGCATTTATTGCAGGTGTTTTCTGCAATAGGTACACTGCATTCCGTAATGAGATAATGACACATCTTTAGCATATTGTGCAGCCAATGAAAAAGTCTTTAGAATCCAGAAAAAAAAGAAGATTCTTTCTGTACTATTCAAGAGGAACTGGGCACAAACATGCAAATTTGAAAAGAAACTGACAATTAAATCAGTAACTTTGCAGCAACAAGGTCATTCTCCTGGATCCATTATCTGAAAGCTTAGCTTTTAACAGATGGATCACTGCAAATACTGTATATCCACTGTACTGCTGACATTCATGAAACTGCTGCCCTGTGCGTCTTTCCTTACCAGGTGTGTGCAGTGGGCAATGTGCTGTGTGTAGGGGCTGCAATGATCTGGAATGAGGGGCAGAGCGTGTTGAATCCTCCAGGGGGAAGCTGGGAGGAGCCGGTGGTGAACTGCAGCAGACGAGCCAGCTCTTCCTGGGTGAAACTGGACACCACTGCCCAGAACCACTTCATGACCTGTTGGGGAAAAATAGAGGAAACAGGAAGAAATAAATGACTTTCTCAGACAGCACTCTGCTGGCGGAACGTAATTCAGAGAGATAACTTCGTTAACATACTTTCTCTCTGAAGTGCCATGATCCTCCGACAATCACAGCATGGGCTTTGAAGTCCTGCACGTTTATATTACCCGTTCCACACATCAACAACTGATGAGAGCACAGGTAAACAGACATGATTATCTGATGATCATTTCAAAGATTACTTGAAGGACAAGTCAGGGTGAATCTTGAATCGTGTCCCAAAACAGAACACACCTACCTCCAACTCATTCTCGTCAAATATGGCCAACAGATTCTCTGGAACTAGTTCGTTTAAACCTGCAATGAATTAGGAAGTTATACTCTAGATGTAAGCGCAACTGGAAAGATCGAATGAAAGCGGTTTGCGCAAACAGCGAGAGTGTGGCTGCAGACATCACCCAACCTTTCAGGAAATGTTCCACCTCGTCCCGCACCTGGCTGGCTAGCCTGTACTGAGCGAGCAGGTTGAGGTAATGAATCTTGTTGTCATTGGTGACGGCGATCTGGGCTCCTCCTGAAATCAGCTCCACCACCTGCAATCAGAATCCAATAAAGAACATCAGCTTGTGTTGGATGTAGCAGCCTGATCACGTTACTGTTCACACATGAATGATGTCCTGGTGAAATAACAAAAAGGACCTTTGATAGGCATGGATTATAGTAAACACCCGAAGGTGCACTGCTCAGCATTTTATTTGTTTTTTTTGCTTCTAACACATCAACTTTAATGACAAAATGTTCACAAGCTGTTTAATATATATGTTATGCCTTATTAGCATATATGACTCCCTGCACCATCTAATAACATTACTTTGTCATGCAATGCAATGACATGACATACTTAAGTAGTTTCACTCACCTCTGCATGCTGACTGCTTAAACTTTTAAGCTGACTGACCTACTTTCCAATTAATTTAGTTGTCAATTATGTGACCTTTTGAGGACACTAAGAGCATTAATTTATAAAATGATCAGTTGATATTTAAATATGTAAAATAAATAAAACAAGGCAGCAAAGTCCCATTTAAAGTAGTGTGCCCTGCCCTGAATGAGCAGAACAGTGTATTCTACAGCTTTCATCTTCACACACAAACGATGTGAAACTTAATGTTTCACATGAAGCAACTCGATTCCTTCTGTTTAGACCTGCGCAACACATTTTTCCAATATGGCAGCATGCTCGTCTTCTGATTTATGAGTTGGTGAAAAACTGATGTTTTCAGAAACTAATCCAGTTAAGTTTGATGTTTATAATTCAGCCACAGGACTTTAAAGCTCATTTTATTTGGCAGCTGCTTTTAAACCGTAGAGCTAAAGAAAAAGCATGTAAGAAATTCCACTGTATGAAACCACCACTTTCCACTTCATAAGCAAAAGAACATTATTGCCAAACAAGCAATCTGGTTAATTTTATTTAGTTTATTGCCTCTATCTAGATGAAATTGCTTTAAAGATTAGAAGGGGGCTTCCTTTCCAAAGAGTTGCCTCACCTTTTCCAGCTGGCCTGACTTGTACTTCTCCTCAGCAAACACCAGGTCCATTTCACTCACGTCATTGTTTAGGATAAAGCAGACCTTAGTTTTGTAGAACTCCTGGTCGTCTGTCTCAAAGTACTAAGCGGAAAAACAGATCAAGAACACAGAAAACTAGCATTTTTAAAACAAACAAACCTTTTAAAGGCTAGGGAGAGTTTTAGAAACCCGTAGCAGGTTAGATAAACACCACAACATGCTGACTGGATTTCTATGAATTATCCCGAGAACCAGATTACGTCTCCTGGCTTTGTGAAGTATGTTTAAATGATGAGACACCCCGAATGACAGACCAGTGTAAACAATGAAAACAACGATCTTCCCACCTTGTAGTTCATCCTAAGGCCAATGATCTGGGCCAGGAAGGAACGCGTAAAGCGAGCTCGGACCAGCTGCTTGTAGGCTCCGCCCAGAGCGGATTCATACAAACATTTTCCGACGACTCGACCAGCAAACTCGTACATCTTCAGGCGTAAGTGGGCCGGCCTGTCAGCGTTTGGGTGCACCTGGAGAATGAAGGATGGTCTCTTTGTAGTTTCTATAGCAATATATTGCCCAACTTGGAAAATAACGGTTTAACATGGAAATATTTAGAAGGAATAACTCACGAGGCCCTGGTTATTTTCACTGAAACGGGTAAACAGCTGGTTGGACGTGTCAAAGAGGGCCTTGCAAATCAACTCAAACCACTCCCTGCGAGGCCCACCCCAGTCGAGAGCTGAAGAAACAAACCATATGGTCATCAACTCCATGCGTCACTTTAACTTAGATAAATTAGATAGTTACAGGGTCATGCAAAAGCATTCATACCTGTTAAATGTTTTTTTAATCACACTACAAATTGTTAATGGTCTATTCTGCTGGGATTTTATGTCATAGACCAACACAAAGCAGTGTGTGAAGGAGCAGTAGAATGAAAAGTAGAATGCAGCACGAATTAAACCCTCTGCTAACACCCCACTTTTCAGATGTCTACTTGATCATGCATCACTTTCCTCCCACTTCCAGACTTTGACTGTGTTGGTCTGTTACATAAAACATAAAATCTCAATATAATAAAGTGTGTTTTTAATTTGATTCAAGGGGGTATGAATACGTTCATAAGATACTGTATGTAAAAATGTTTCTTTTCTTTTTTTTTTACCTTCCTCATCCTGAAACACAACTTCAAAGTTTTTACTCCAGTCTGACACAGAGAAGTTCCTCGTAACCTTTAACGACTGCACAAAACCACAACAAGAATCAAAATTACCTCAGCTGTCACAACATTGCTGGGACTACATTACTCCTGTATTTTTTATTTTTATTTTTGAAGACTGCTTTTATTATCAAAGAAAAGGAAAACGCACTCACTGACTCAAGAATAGCATGTCGAGTGATTTTTAGGCAGGTTTTGGTGCGAGGTTTCTTGGAGTGAATGTGCCTGAGTTCACGTTGAAAGAAGTTTACCTTATCTTGAAAGGTCTCAGAGCCGCCTGGAGACAAAAACATGACATTGTTGCCACAGGATCTTTATCGGTCTTTTATTTTTTATTTTTCCAAGAGCAATAAAATCCTTGCAAGGCTGAGACAAACCAATGTTTTTGTGCAGGAAGCGAATGAAGGTGGCAGCCATGATGTTTCTGTCTTTACAGCTGAGCTCCACAGGAGGTTGTATGCCGTCGTCCACCACAAGAGTTAAATACTTATGAACTGGGTCTGAACCATAATAGGTAAACTGAAAAGAAAAGGGCTATTGTTAGCTTTAACATAAAGTAAAAATGACCCTTAATTGGAGTCTCGTTTTACTTACCTTGGTTCCTGGACATACTCGGAAGGTGAAAAGGCGCCATGGAATAATTTTCAGGTAGAACTCCTTTACAGATAGTTGCTGTTTGACAAACGTCCAAAAAATCACTGAGGTGAACTTAAACACATCCAATACAAAACAAGGAAAAAGCAAACATAATCTTTAAGATCCACTACTCACCTTTGGCGATATGTAGCAGTAGACTTTTTTTGGTTTCTTCACCTTCTCTGGTTGTCCCTCCACAGGAGAGTCGTGCTCCTCATCCTCCTCACCCATAGAGGGCCTCCTCTGAGGAGCCAGCAGGGAGGAGGCCGGTAACTGCCACGATGAACTGCTGTAGTTGCCACTGCCGTAAAGATACGCCTCGAAGTAGATACTAATGCCTGGAGTGGACACGTTTTTCTCCACGCAGGACTTCTCATTCTCTGAAAAGATGTGAGTGTTAGGCTCTGAAGACACAGGCTAATATAAAAACGACCTACTGGGCAAAAAGAGGAAGCTCACCACTGAGAACAATTATGTCAAACTCCCCGTTGCTGAGCGGCTGATCCTTATAAGAGATCCGGGCCCTGAAACAACCCGTCTTCCTCAGGGTGAGTCTCAGCAAAACCTGGCACTGCTGCTTGTTGAGTGAAACTGACTTGCTGTAGAAATCATCTGAGCTGTCATCGTCCACAGTACCAAGCTGGAAAAAAAAAAAAAAAAACAGGAAACAAAACAGCAGCATGAACACCGACAAAGTTTAACTCACTGTGAAGACAGTAGGCAAAAATAAAAAAAAAATTAACAGGGCTTCAAAATAAATCCAGACTTTTACTTTTACTTGACTTTTTGTCAGAACAAGATGTTTTCTCTTACAGAGTGAATATGGACACTGTAGTTTTCTTCATCTGTAAGCGATGTGGAGTTACTGGTGGGGTTTCCGTACTCGTCCCTGGGTTCAATTTGCAAAGTGTGCTGCTGGCCATTTGTTAGCACCAGGGTGGAGAAATGGTAGGCTATCTTGGTTTTAGATGGAACAACTGTACCTGTGAGAAGAAATTACAAGATAAAAGAATGTATGAGATATCTTAAAAAAAAAACAAAAAAACAACAACAACAAAAAAAACATAAATCAAGCCCAAGAAAATAAAACTATGTTCACACCTGGTTGGAAGATCTTGTAATAAGGACTGTAGGCCACATTGAGGCCACCCAGTTTTACAGCAACCTCGTAGCGTCCAGCTTTGCGCACCGTGAAGGCCACTTTCACAACGTTGGACTCCGGCTCCTGCAGAACCTCCTGGGTGACCGGGATGTCCAGAGCCAGTTCAATGTGGGTGATGTTCACCCTCAGACCCACAGGCCGATGCGCAGGGAAAGGTTGACCATTCTTGTAAAAAAGCTGAAACAGCATAAGCACAATGTGAGAATAACAACTTTATATTTATCAACACTGTTTTTCAGAGACAGATATTATGGCTTGTATAGTAGATACAGAGTCTTTCATGTTTATTGATATCCCATTAACGTTTTCACAGTTTGCAGTGGTTCAGCAACAAATTCAATTCATTTTGGTGGACTTTATGCATCAGATCAACGCAAGGCTTTGCATAATTAGGAAGAGACAGGAAAAAGGATGCACAACTTAAAAAAATTTGTAACAAATAAAAATCTGAAAGGTTTCACATACATTGGTATTCAGCCCCATTTACTCTATTAGCAGGAAATAAAAACAAGTGGAGCAAACTGCCCTGAGAAGTTAACACCTCAGTAACACATTGTGGTGGCAGCTGGTGCATTGATAGGTGGAGCTAAACTCAGGTCAATCCAGTAAGAAAAGCTGCTAGAAGCTGTGATAGGCTTGTCACTGGGGTGGAGAATCACCTAGAAATTACCTGAACCACAAAGTCAGCACTACAACAAAGAGATTTAAAGACTGATGTTCACTGATGCCTCCCATGCCACCTGCCAAAGCTTAAGCCTGACTACAAATAACAATGAGTAAAAACTTCAAAAATAAAGAGAGAGACCATATAAAATATTATAACAACAACAAACATGTTGTGACAGGACAAAATGCTGAAAGCAGTGTGTATATTTTTAGTCTTAATCCCTTTTATAAAATCTGTTTTTACCTGAACTCTAAAGGTCATCGTCTGCCCGACTTCCTGTGGTTCCTTCCAGTCCCACGACACCTTACAGGAACGAGGGTCCAGGTAGTTGCCGCGGACATAGTCGTAGATGCTTCGGTCGCCTCTTCTTCCAGGATCCTCATTCTGTAGGAAGCTAACGATCCTAGCTGCGAGCTCACAGAGGAACTTGATGGTGAAGAAAAACGCTATGATGGAAACAGTAATTCCACCTGCCAAAAGAAAGGAGGAATTACTGGGCAGAATTATATTATATTTAAGCTACACAAACACATTTACTAGCCTGTTAGTTTTTTTTTTGTTTTTTTTTTCCTATCCTGAACTCACCAATCACGTAAAACATGAGGTCCCTTATCAAAAAGCACAGTGCCACAGTACAGCCAAAAAGGAGAGCTCCCGCTGAGGAACACCAAAAAAATAAAATACAATAATGATTACATTTATACAGAACTTGTTTTTCTAAAGCATCAAATAAAATTTTAATGATTGTACTTTTGCATTTTATCATGATCTTCCACATGACTTGTCTTAAGCTACGGCATGGTGAAAACCACACCTACAGAAAGGAATGTTGAGGAACAAGAGTAATAGTTAATCATCAAGAACAAGACAACCTTTAGCTGTAATACATTATTATTTAGAACAACTTATTGTTATCACTGTGAACGTAAAAGGTACGGCTTACTGAGAGAAAAAGAAAACACAAAATTCTGTGCTCTGCAGACAAGTAAAGCAACGCTTAAGTTGACGGAGGCTACACATGCACGAGTATCATCATGGAAAACTTTTGTTCTGCCTTACTGAGTCACACTCAACAAGTGAACTTTCTATAGACAGACATACTCAAACGCAACCTGTCCCTTATTTACACCCTGTCTGTAAAAGCTGAAGGGAAGCGACCACAGTTCAACGAAACAGAAAAATAATCCGTCTCACCAGTTGACCACTTCTCATTCAGGCGCCTCTCAGCAAGGCTGCGCACCAGCCGGATCTCGTAGTCCTGGTCTCGACTCCCTCTAGAGGTCTGCAGAATCTTGATGCCTGTGGACAGCTTTATGTAGTCGTCGTAATAGTAACCCCAGGCAGCTAAAGAGAGCTGCAGCTGACTGTCGAATCGAGACAGGTCATCCAGATTTATACAACCCAAGGTTTTCAGTCTGGTGTGAGAAGAAAAAACAAAAATGAAAGTATTTTGGGTAGATAAATAACTAAAGATAGCATTCTACTGTAAAACCACTCCACCGTGGCTGCTGCTGTTCCTGTACGCTACCGTCTATTAAGCCACACAGCTGCTGTTATTGCACATAGGAGGCAGTCCTTTGGACAAAACCAGTTTCTGTGAAATTGTGCATGATGGCAATCCTAGTGTTTTCAGATAAACAAGGTGCGAATCATAGAAGCAGCTTGTCCAGTGCATGCATTCTAAATATATTTTTTAGACAAGGAGAGAAAAAAAAATACTCTGCAAACTGATTAACTATTTATGGCTAAACAGTAATTTCCTGTTGCAAGTTTTAATTGTCGGTCTAACCTTCTGCGTAAGCAGCTACTGTGTGTGTACTTATGAGTTCTAAGTGTATGGTCAAGATGACATATGAAATAAAAACCAAAAAAGGTAGTGTTTGTACTTCCTTCCCCATGATATGCAATTTTAGAATTATACCATTGTTCCCTTTTTTAATTGTGTTGAACAGTGCAGCATTACTTGCCATAGTATTTTGAAGCTTATTTAGCTACATTATTATCCACAGTCTCAACACCAATCTGAGTAGGGACTTAAGGTCACAATATCACTCAGGTTAGGTTTTTCAGAACTTAACATTTTGCTTTGCAATCATATTCTATCAAACTAATTTGACTGTGAGAACAGAATATTTTATTGAAATATGTGAGTAATAAAGACTTAAATTTAACTGAGTAAATCAAGACGAGATGTTAGAGCCTTCTTAACTATTAAATGGTTAAGTTAAATTTATTCATAACACATTTCAGCAACAAGGTTTTTCAAAGTGCTTCACAATAAAAAACATTATAACACACGCACACACATAAAAAAAACAACAACTTTACAATGGCCAAAAATAAATTGATAAAAAGTTGTAAAGCATTTACGTGAATATCTAAACATAATCCCTTCTAGCATTTAGAAAACCTTAACCTAACAACCAAAACAAGGTAAGTCATAAAGATATGCAGCGCCTAAAATAAAAAAGTTGATGACATTTAAAGTACTAATCCCTAAGTAGGGCGTTCATGAATTCATGTCACACAGCTTTTTATGCTTACATGTGGTGGTAGTGCTCTAGGTTCTGCGAGCTAAGCCACTCCTGGAAGGCAAAGTCACGAAGCAGCTTGATGTGAGCTTCTGCAATTTCCCTCCAGTGCTGCTGCTCTTTCACCACCTCCTCCAGACGACTCAGCACGCTCAGACTCAGTTCTTCCAGTGTCTGCACATCTGTGCGACACATAGAAACCACATAGAAATGTCCAAAAGTACAAGAATATTCAAGTCTCTGCTGATGTCTGTTCTTTAAACTAGGCATTACCCAAAAACAAACAGAGGGGGTTTCCTTGAAAATTACACAGACTTGGGAATCCCAATTTAAAAAAAATCACACACAATGCACCAAGCATTCAGACTGCTCTGCTTGTACGAGAAACAGGATACTTTAAGCAGTTTTAATCGTCCTTTCGGATGTATGAGGTTTTAATTCTAAGGATCTACTATATTAACACCATAAACAGAGTAATAAATGCTTGTGTTATTATTTTTGCTGCTTTGTTGAGTGTAATCAGACTCTCTGATACAATGCTGGTAGTTCAATAACTATGATGAGTTTTTGGACCAGCTAAACAGACCATTCTGAAGAGCACAAGCAACCACTTTAATGTTAACTTACTAAGCCTTTTAGGCAGCTACTTGCAGCTGTTACTGTAATTTCTCTCTGCATGAAGGGTTGAAAAAATATGTTAAAAAAGCCATCCTTGCAGAGATGCAAAGTTTAAAGTTCTGCCACATGTCATACTTGGTGCCCTTTGGTGTTTAAATATCCACGCTTACATTCTGCTCACATTTCCTCCAATGAGATGATGCATTTGATGTCAAATCTGTTTTTTTTTCCCAAAAGCAGTGTCACTAAATATGTTGTCAATTGTAATTAGATTTTCGGCTGATTGTACTAATACTAAACATTATCACTGTAATAATTTTCAGAATATTCTATGTTGGTGAAAATGCAGTTTACAGTAAGGAATGTCAGTTTTTGATGGAATAAAATAAAAACAAGCATGAAATAAACATTTTTTGAATAGTTGATGCCAATATCGTTTGTGATTTTTACTGGTCTCCATGTAAATCCAGGGACATAAATTACATAAATTACCACATTTGTTACTGTTAAAACAATGAAGTTGTAATTATTGTTAACCTACAAACAGGACATTGGCAACATTATTTCTTTTGACTGATAACTCTTAGTAACTAATTAACATTAATACTTTCAGCTATAAAGCACAGGTAATGTGTTAATGCAGCATTCACCTTGAAAATACCAAAATCTATTTTGAGCACCCAAATACTGATATGCAATTGACTTATCACATTTTGAGAACTATGGACATGTAAAATCAAGTCAGAAAAATTTTCCCAGAAATTTCTGAAAACAAACACTGTATATTGCAACTCATACTAGTATATACTACTAGTCTAAAAAAAAACTTACCTTCGAATAAGTGACTGTATTGAGAAAGGCTATGTACTTGGAGCCATTCCTCAATCTGGCCTTCTTTTCTTTTCTTCCACCGTACTTCCCAGAACAAGATCCACGACAGAGAGCAGAAAAGGAGGGTCAGGAAGAAGCGGCGGTCCATCAGACCATCTTTCAGCCTTTCACTTAGATTCCTCCGTGCTTTCACAACTGCCACACACCGCTGGGCAAGCCCAAACTCCTGCCACGGAATGAGAAAAGTGAAGACAAAATTATGAAATGTACACAAGACTGAACAAGTACTGCTTTGCTTTGAGCTTGTTAATCAGTATAAAATGAAGTTTGTCAATGAATGGAAACACTAGGTAAATGAACTGCCTTGTAAATATATTGAATAGTGAGGAAAAACCACAGGAAAACGAGCTCAATCTGATTGTGTTTACAATCCTATCCGAAAACAACACTGAAACTGAAGAGATATCTGAGCTAGCTTAATATATTAAAGGAATCCTGGCAGACAGCTAAGAAAAAAAAATCTATTTTAACGTGTAGGCTGACAAATGGAAATCAATAAGGGCGAGAAACAATGAAGTAAACTGCAACATCATCAATTCTCGCTCAGAGGCTGACTGCTACGACGGCAGCATTCAGAAAGAAAACACAGCGCTAACAGCTAGCAGGTTAGCCAGGCGTCCTTTTAGAAACCTCTGAGCCAATAATAGGTAGTTATCAAGTCGCACAATCAAATATATTTACAGAAAACTACATACAACTTCAGAGATGAAACAAGGTATTACATTTGCCAATAAAATCTGCAAGTAATACATGTTTAAGAAACACTGCATTTACCTTCGTCTGTCAGTCGTTAGCATAGCAACCGGAATGTTCGGACAGAGTCGTCGCTTACTTATGACGTCTTACTATCGACACACGAGGAGAGGAAAGGTAGCTGATTCCAGAGACTAAAAGCCTGAAACGCAGAAATATGGTAAATAATGTCGACTTCTTCCTACTTCATCTTAACCTGTTAACATTCAAGTTGAAATACTTTTAATTCGGTTGTTACACTTTTACAGCGTTTGTTGTTACACTGTTTTATGGAGACATGCTTTTCAGATACAGTACTAGCTTTAGCACAGTTAGCCTAGCATTTAAAAAAGCCAGCATTGCAATCCTACCTTATAAACATAAGATTAATCTAAATTCATAAGTCAGGGTATCATTGAAAATGTAATTTGAAGTCGCATACGATTGTTTATTGCACAGGGAGTGAAATATTTCAGGCGCTTTCTGTTAATTTGATGAATAACTTTGTAGCTATGGCAAACCTGAAAGTTTCTCAGAAAAACTGAATATAGCACAAGCAAGTAAAAAAAGAAAAAAGTTAATGATGAATTCTTATGTCATGACCTATGCAGGAAAAGTAAGCCACAATAATCTTTAGTAGAGGAGCTGGATGCTAACCCAGTGCAGTGTTCAAGCATATTATTAGAAAGTTGAGTGGAAGGAAAAAGTAATGGGGTGGTTGCAGCCTTGAGAAGAAATGCCCATTCTAGTGTGTAGGGGGGATTCATAAAGCATAAAGTGGAGTTAGTTTTAAAAGAACAATACAAAAACTCTGGCAATGTTTCTTATTATTATTATTTCTAAATTTAAGATTGAGCCATAAAGTGTGGAGCCTTGAAATCCTTTTTCAAAAATCAGAGTAAATAAAAAAATAAAATAAAATATATGTACTGTAAATGTTACAACTGATAAAAAGAAAAACAATGTTAAATAGTTGGCAAAACAATACTTTGCTGTTAATTTAATTGATTTACTGATTATGCTTCAATACACAACTGTCACTAGAGTGTTTTGCTCTTAGTGATTTGGGAATTGATGCTCTAAACATTTGATACCGATTATTTTATTTCATCTGATATCTATGTGTGTGTTTCTTCCAGGGGAAGCAGAAGACAAAAAAATTTGCTGCAATGAAAAGAATGATTAATCTCAGAGATCATAGGATGTAAGTCCTAAAATATGCAGTTTAATTTGGTTGCATATCTTCCTGATAAATTTCCTGTTTCAGTTCTTTGACCACTGGATTCAGCATAAAAAAACTAGCTCATTTGAACTTTGCCATTGCTTTATAGAAAAGAAAAGGACCGTGCTAAACAGAAAGACAAGAAGAAGAAAGATCCTTCAGAAGTTAAGGAGCGGGAAGTGTACGTTAGCCACTCAACTCACTAAACTGTATCTTAACCCGTGGTCTGTGCTCTTTCTGATCTTTTCTTTTTCATTCTCATTGCAGCACCAAGTATCCATCATGCATGTTCTTCCAGTACAACACCCAACTTGGCCCACCATACCATATCCTTGTTGATACCAATTTCATCAACTTTTCCATTAAAGCCAAGCTGGACATTGTTCAGTCTATGATGGACTGCCTGTATGCCAAATGTAAGAAGTATTGGAACTCTAAATGTAGACTTAATGCATGCTCTGTTAGAGAATGTTATTTAATGGTTATGACAGATAAAATTAAACAATTTTCCCTCTGCTATGTGATTTGCTTCAGGTATACCCTATATCACAGACTGTGTGATGGCTGAGATCGAGAAGCTGGGGATGAAATACAGAGTGGCTCTCAGGTATCATCTCCAGCAATCATTTAATTCTGCAGACATACAACATGTATGTAGTTCTTCTTTTCCATCTGAACAATGTTTTCTGTTTGACAGGATAGCCAAGGATCCACGTTTTGAGCGTCTGCCATGCGCACATAAGGGCACATATGCTGATGACTGTTTGGTGCAAAGGGTGACCCAGGTAAAATAAATGCATAGCAGTAAACATCCAGAGGAATATAGTGGCATAAAATATGTGAAATGTCTAACTTTAGCCTTTTTAGCTGCTAAAGTGAATTCAAGTGAACTAAATTTAAACACTTATGAAGAATAAAACATTGATCAGTAAAATAAACTTCAAGATCAGCCCATATAGTCTTTTATTAGGAAGCATGACATAAAAACATTTTGATTTGTGGGCTGTGCATATCCTTTTTTTTGGCACAGGAACCAATTGTGGTTATGCTCTGATTAGAGGAAAAATAAAAAAAATTAAGAACAATCGCAATATTGTAAAACATAAATTGGAAAATTTCAAATGACAGGTTTATGAAAAAAAATTTAAGGGTAAAATTACAGGTTGAACAGATGTGAGGAGTTTTGGCTTGTAGGTATTATTCTGAAAGTTGGTGTAGAAAAGTGTGAAATGTGATTCGACCTTAATCTCCTGAAGGGCCACAGAAGAGAAATAATCAAACAAATGAGGCAATTGACACAGTTGGAGAATGGAGAAAAAACAAGATGGTCAAATTATTGGCAAACAACCGCTTTATAATTAAGTAGCAAAAGTGCTAATTGTCCCATCAGTTGCTTCTGCTAAATGTCATATTCTGTTAAAATTTACAAAGACAATCTATTTGGAATAATATTATTTTAGGTGATACCATGTTAAATCAATTAAATGCATCATATTGTGGTGGGTGATTATGAATATAGAGATTGATTACATACAACTTTCTATGCAGCACAAGTGTTACATCCTGGCCACTGTGGACAGAGATCTGAAGAGAAGAGTCAGGAAAATACCTGGAGTGCCCATCATGTACATCTCAAATCACAGGTAACAAATATCAAATTGTCTCAGAATCAGGACACTTTGCATGTTTTAGTTGTAAACAAAGATGTTTTTATTAATACTTTTTTATTCTGTTTGCAGGTATAATATTGAACGGATGCCTGACGACTATGGAGCCCCAAGGTTTTGATATTTCTGCCCTGAAATTAGTCATGTAAATAAATTAAGGATTCCTACCAACTGTTGTAGTAAAAGTGCAGAGGTGTTCAGATTTGACTTACTGCTAGAGTGGGTTTGGTAATATTTCAGCTTTTCAAATTGTATTATTTCTTGTGACCTTCAAACATTTTGTTGCCATTTAATTTCTGAATAAATAACTAACTAACTGAACTGTTTTTTTTGTTGTTTTTTTTTTTAGAATAAATATCAAAAAAGTGTCAAATAATAAAAACAAATTCTCACACAACCCGATCTACATACAAGTTCATTTCAGTAAATTAGAATGTAATGAAAAAGTTCATTTCTTTGTACAACTGTTTCTACCATACTTTTTTCTTCCACTTGCATACAACAGTGTAAGCAAGCCAGATTAGACAGCAATGATGCTTTGGACAGCAGACTTCCTCATGATTTTTATGGCAAAACATGGCCATAGCCATCTCTGTGTGAATACCTTTCATTGGTCTCATGTAACATTCTAATACCAATAACAAACTGAATTTTATGATTTTGTAATCCATTATCATCAAACTTAGCTGAAATAACGGCTTGGATTGTAATGAATCAGTAGAATATATGTATATGTTTCACGTCTTGAGTTAAGGTTTGAAATATATCAACTTTTGGAGGCTTTATTCAATTCAGATGCACCTGTAAATATAATTCGCGGATTTCTTACGAAGAGCACCTGAATGCAGCACTTGTCACCGCTGAGATCATGTTCTGAGACTGGCGCATGCGCAGTAGTTGGAGTTCGGGGAGTGTCTGAGCGGCTCGTTGGATTCAGAAACCACTCTAGAAGAGCATCTGCAGGAACAATGAGCCGGCTGGATTGGGTGGAAAGGATTTTATAATTTGAGCCTAGACTGAAAGGATGAAGAAAGTCGCAGAAATGGGACCTCGAAGGAACATCGACTTTTAGCAAATCTGAGGCGTGAATGACCTCCAGCGGTACAGGGAATTAGGATTTTCTAATACTTTGTTGCCTGCAAAGTCAACCACCTGACAGACTCGTTAGCGGTGTTGCATTGGGGAGAATATGAATACTTGTAGAAAGAAGAACAGATTCATTATGGGGTTTATTCTCATGATTATGTCGCCTTTACTGTCTTATTAACAAGCATGGATAGCTGTTTACTGGAAGGCCTCCAGACTGCTTGATAGGTGTAAAACATTTGCTGCAAAATAAAATATATATATATATATATTTGTTTTTCAATTTTTAAATGTCTGCTTCAGCCTGATGAACCAAAGAGAGATTTGCCATCCCCTTTAATAACATCTTCACTGACTGTTTTTGTGAGACACTGATGCCATAATCTCCTGGAGGTCATGAGATGACCATCTGCTGCTGGAACCTGCTTTAGACCTGCAAGCTGATTAACCAGTGACAGAACCGAAGGCAGGACTTTTCTGCATCTGGACTGTGTGGCTGACTGCTGAAGGAGGGATGCTGAGGGCCACCGTGGGCTCCGCAGAGGAGAGGGATGAGGAGGACGAAGGGGAGGAAGAGTTAAGGGATGGAGGGGTGCCTTTCTACGTCAACAGAGGAGGCCTCCCGATGGATGAGGAGACTTGGGAGAGGATGTGGCGCCATGTGGCCAGAATCCACCCAGGTGGTGAAATTCTGGCCAAGGAGATAAGGGGTGCCACTGACCTACCTAAGGTAAAAAAAAAACTAAAAAAAAAAAACTTACAAGACATTTCATCAATTGTAATTGTTCAAGTAAATAAAGTACAGACATTGTCATACTATTTCACAGTTCACTAAAATGGGAGTGAGAGAGAAGTCAAGGTACTGTTTTGTATGAAATTGAGATGAGTGCAAAGTCTAAACAAAATTGCATTCTTGAAAGGAGTGTGACATGCCCATATCTAAACTTTTCCATTTTGCTAAATAGTTTCTATAAGTTGCAACCAGAATACAGTATTGATAAAACTTTAATGGCTGGTGATTCATCAAAAAGCACCTATCTTGGTGTTGCTGAGTGTCAGTTTTACATTTGACACCACAACATGCTGACTGTTGCAATGAACAACAGAGAACCAAACCATTGTTTGGTTCTCTGTTAAATTTGCTCCATGATT